AGCCATAGGAGATACTATAAGCTACACGTTGTCTAAAACAGCTAAGCTGTTGCCCACATACTGACCATCTTCTCCAACAATCATCACCAGATCAGCAGCAACTAAGCAATTACTGTTGCAATACTGCAGCATGCAAACCTAGTGCTGCCTAAAACATATCGTATAACTAAGGGCATTTTTTCAGTTTGGATGGAGTGGGAAGGATTCGAACGTCTGTCAGGTTATTATTGCTGTCTGTTCCCCCATTCCTGAGATTTATCCTTTCTATTTGGCTTGTTTACCATTATTATTATACAGGATTTATATAGCAGCACCAACAGTTTGCGCAGAGCTTTACAATATGAAGGTGGACATTACAGTAACAATACAATTTGGTACAAGAGGAAACAGAGGGCCCGGCTCGTTAGAGCTTACAATCTAGGAGGAGGGGTTGGGTTGAGTGATACAAAAGGTAATAGCTGCGGGGAGGATGAGCTGATTGGAGGAAAATAAATGGCGGTTTTTACTAGGTAGAAGCAGGATAGGCTTCTTTAAAGAGAAAGGTTTTTCAGGGATCATCTAAAAGGTGGATAGATTAGGAGACAGCCTGACAGATTGGGGGTAAGGAAGTTCCACAGGATGGGAGTAGCTCGGAAGAAGAAGTCCTGGAGGAGAGCATGGGAGGAGGTGGACACAGGAACTAGAGAGCAGAAGGTCTTGGGAGACCTTTATCTATTTTATCCATCAAGACCATTATCAACAAAAGTGAAAGTAAAAGAAGATACCAAAATCTTGGGTTGTTCCCAGAACAGTAATAGAGGGGAAAATCTTCCAATGTGGACACTAGCTCTGGTTTGCCCCTATTGACAACCTGGGGAATTCCCTCACATTGGAGGGATTCCCTCCTTCACTTCCTGCTTTGGCTATGGGACAAGAAGAGACGAGAATGGGACAACAGATAGAAAAGAAAAGTCTGAAAAGGATTATATTATATGTATTGTCAACATCAACCAAGCATCTTTAACCTAAACTATTAACATTCTTAGCCAGTGGTTTTGTGAGGATGTTCGTTAATATTTGAAAAGAGAACTAGAAATGCACACCTGTATTATTCTTCTTCTTCTTATTATTATTATACAGGATTTTATATAGCGCCAACAGTTTGCTCAGCGCTTTACAATATATAACGGGAGACAATACAGCAACAATACAGTTCAATACAAGAGGGTTGGGTAGGGCCTGATCCTGGGAGCTTGACAATCTGTGTTTCCTTGTTCTATGATACTGCTTTGCTACAGTTCCAGACCTTTGCTAGTGATCGGGAATTTATTTGTATGGTTCTTGATCATATCATCACCATGACAGCCAACCATGGTGGTCACATGGAGGCTGGAGGTTTGTTTAGAAACCAATTACACACTCTCCAGCCTTCAGATGCCACTGTAGCCTTAAGTTGGCAGGAAAGCAGAATTCCAGGTATGGGTATTTTAACAGGTTACACTGCTTCAGAGTGGACCGATGGTGTAACTATGCATTTATACCCTACCTGTGGGACCCCGGTGGTCAGTGGTCTCCAAAGCTTGGTCTGTGGGCCAGATGCGGACCTTTGCTTGCCTGCACTGGGACCTTGACGCAATGTTCCTCCCAACGATACAAGTCACTATATTACTTTCAATGACACCAACAATGGGGGTACTATTCCTTTCACTGACAGCAACGATGGGTCACTACTCCTTCGCACTTTTACTTCCATTGACCACCAAAACCTGGGAAATGATCTACTCTCACTGATGCTGGGGGATTTTCTACTCCCACACTGGCCATAGTTAGGCACCCCTTAAAGTCTAAGAGAAAAAAACTGGCCCTTTGTTTAGAAAGTTTGGAGACTCCTTGTAGTAGACACATAATTACTCCAGTAAACTCCACTAGCTTCTGGGTCTGTGACGAGCAGCTGCCCTGCTGCATTAATTGCGGAGTTCCACTCACTCTGTAAAAAATAATAGTCAGCAGCTACAAAAACTGTAGCTGCTGATTTTTTAAAAAAACAGCCACTTACCTGTCCCACGATCCCACGTTGCGCCCGCCGCAGCCTGTTTCACTGGCCATCCTGTATTCCAGTCGCCGGCATCTTTAGTGTGGGCACCTGGCTGTGACAGCTTGCGGCTTCACAGCCGGGTGCCCACTGCGCATGCGCGGGGTAGCGCTGCGCTGCCTGAATGGCCCCGTCGTCTTCTGGGACTGTCACGTGTCCCACAAAACTTCGGGGAGGGAGGGTAGGAGGACAACTTCTGTTTCCAATCACCTAGGTGATCACAGCAGAAGTGAGAGAGGGTACCTGTCAAATTCGGGTACCCGTTCCCGCCCCTCCCCAAAGGTGCCAATCCTTAATGGGGAGCGGGGGTCCAATCCTTAAGGCGGAACTTCCCCTTTTGGGTGGAACTCCGCTTTAAGAACACAGGCAGTCGGCCGCTGGGCACAGGCACCATTCAAAGAAGGCCTTGCATTATTTCAGTGAATGCAAAAAACATTTTCTGATTAGAGGAGGTGAAGAGTGTGAGGTCACCTCCCTGCGGTGAAACGTTGCATTCATTGTGAAAATGCGATGTGATCTCTGAATGATGCCTATGCCCCAGCAGCCGACTGTCTGTGCGTTCATAATGCATCAGGGCAGCCACTCAGCATGGACAGCCACGTGGCACGGGACAAAGAGGCTGGCAGAGACTGCTATAGAGATGGCTATAGCAGTGGTTCCTTCAACAGGGATTTCCAGCTTAGTAGAGAGATCCCACAGGTACTTACATTGGTCTAGCAGTAACTGTCTATTACAGTGACTTCCAGTATTTTGAAGGATCCCACATGTGTGGCATTGTGCCAAAAGTAGAGATGTCTATTACCATGATTTCCATTGTCTTGAGGATGCCAAAGGTACATACATTTGTCCAGCTAGTAGCTGTCTATTACAGTGACTTCGAGTATTTTGAAAGATCCCATATGTATGGCATTGCGCCAGTAGTAGAGATGTCTATTACCATGACTTCCATTGTCTTGAGTGACCCCACAGGTATGGTATATGCATAGATACAATGATCCCCAGCTGGACCAAATGTAACCCTATAAAATATCCATACCTGGAATTCATCTTTTGATAACATAAATATGATAAACATAAACCATCCATCGCTACGGTAACATCATTTATTTTACATTTTTGCACATGGCTATGCTTCTCCTCAATCATGGCAGCTGCCTGCTTTGCATTCTTATCCATTTTCTCTCACTGTTGTAGACGAGTCATATGACTGTCCTGCAGGAGGATAAAGCGTTGGACCACTATGGCTGCTATGTGTGTATTCCTCTCTATAATAAACCCTTCTTATGGTTGGTGTGGGAATGGAGCTTCAGTATCATGGGACCTCCACATTCTGCCTGACAAGGAGTTTGTTAGCTGCTGATTCTTTCTATAACCCGGGAAAGTGTCTAATAATGCTGAATATGAGATCTCCTTCCATAAGGCTACACATGGCACATCAGCAAAAATTTACTAGGAAAACATCAAAAAACATGATGAAAAAAATAATAGGACTGGTAATCATTTCTACAAATCGTCCTATAACTAAAATACAGCTTTAGGAAAAATAATATAATAAAATGTTTGTACAGAAATTGTCTCATAAAGTGCAAAAATATGTATGTGGACTTACAACTGAATAAATGTGACAGATTTATGATTCATTTAAATAAATTAATGCTTTAAATACAATTTTTTTTTATCATTTTTATATTTTAAATATGTTTTTAAAAAAATATTTTTTTAAATCAAAATGTTATGAAAAGAATGGTACCAGAAAGTCCCTTATTTCTAATTTTGAAATATCAATGAAGACAGAAATTCTATGGGATGTGGATACCAATTAGGTGACCCAGGGGAGTCTTAAAGTGGTTGTAAACATGAAATATGAACAACGTATATCCCTCTATGGCAGGATAGGCAAAGTTTTAAGCACAGTGTGCTGAAAAAAAGTTTTCAAAGAAGTTGAGAGTGCCAGCTACATAAAAAATATCAACTTCAATCATGAAAAGAAAATCTTTAAAGCAGAGCTCCACCCAAAAGGGGAAGTTCCACTTTACGGCTTTGTCCCCCGCTTCCCCGTTAAAGTGTATGCTAAACCCCCGGACCCTGCATTCGCTATATCCGGTCTCCCCGGAACCCGCATTCACTATATCCGCTCTCCCCGGACCCTGCATTTCACTATATCCGGTCTCTCCCCGGACCCTGCAGTCACTATATCCGGTCTCCCCGGACCCTGCAGTCACTATATCCGGTCTCCCCCGGACCCCGCATTCACTATATCTGGTCTCCCCGGACCCTGCATTCACTATATCCGGTCTCCCCGGACCCTGCAGTCAATATATCCGTCTCCCCGGGACCCTGCAGTCACTATATCCGGTCTCCCGGACCCTGCATTCACTATATTATCCACTCTCCCCAGACCCTGCATTCACTATATCCACTCTCCCTAGACCCTGCATTCACTATATCCGGTCTCCCCGGACCCTGCATTCACTATATCTGGTCTCCCAGGACCCTGCATTCACTATATCTGGTCTCCCAGGACCCTGCATTCACTATATCCGGTCTCCCCGGACCCTGCATTCACTATATCCCCGGTCTCCCCGGACCCCCCGCATTCACTATATCCGGTCTCCCCCGGACCCGGCATTCACTATATACTGTTCCCCGGACCCTGCATTCACTATATCTGGTCTCCCCGGACCCTGCATTCACTATATCCGGTCTCCCTGAACCCTGCATTCACTACATCTGGTCTTCCCGGGACCCTGCATTAACTATATCCGATCTTACCGGACCCTGTATTCACTATATCTGGTCTCCCGGACCCTGCATTCACTATATCCGATTCTTACCGGACCCTGCATTCACTATATACTGGTCTCCCTGAACCCTGCATTCACTACATCTGGTCTTCCCGGGACCCTGCATTAACTATATCCGATCTTACCGGACCCTGCATTCACTATATCTGGTCTCCTCGGACCCTGTATTCACTATATCTGGTCTTCCCGGACCCTGCATTCACTATATCTGGTCTCCCCGGACCCCGCATTCTCTATATCGGGTCTCCCCCCGGACCCCGCATATGACTATATCTGGTCTTCCAGGACCCTGCATTTACTATATAACTCCGCTCTCCCCGGACCCCGCATTCACTATATCTGGTCTCCCCGGACCCCGCATTCTCTATATCTGGTCTCCCAGGACCCTGCATTCACTAATATCTGGTCTCCCCGGACCCTGCATTCACTATATCTGGTCTCCCCGGACCCCGCATTCACTATATCTTAGGTCTCCCAGGACCCCGCATTCTCTATATCTCTGGTCTCCCAGGACCCCCGCATTCACTATATCTGGTCCTCCTCGGACCCTGTATTCACTATATCTGGTGTTCCCGGACCCTGCAATTCACTATAATCTGGTCTCCCAGGACCCTGCATTCACTATATCTGGTCTCCCCGGACCCCGCATATACAATATATCCAGTCTCCCCGGACCCTGCATTCACTATATCTGTCTCCCCGGACCCTGCATTCACTATATCCGGTCTCCCCGGACCCTGCATTCACTATATCCGGTCTCCCCGGACCTGCATTCACTATATCTGGTCTCCCCGGACCCCGCATTCTCTTATCCAGTCTCCTTGGACCCTGCATTCACTATATCTGGTCTCCCTCCCCGGTCCCTGCATTCACTATATCCGGTCTCCTCGGACTCGGACCCTGCATTCACTATATCTGGTCTTTCCCGGACCCTGATTTCCACTATATCTGGTCTCCTCGGACCCTGCATTCACTATATCCGGTCTCCTCGGACCCTGCATTCACTATATCTGGTCTTCCCGGACCCTGAATTCACTATATCTGGTCTCCCCGGACCCTACATGCACTATATCTGGTCTCCCCGGACCCCGCATTCACTTAATCTGGTCTTCCCAGACCCTGCATGCACTATATCTGGTCTCCCAGGACCCTGCATTCACTATATCTGGTCTCGCACAGTACACACAACATGGAAATGCAATTATTTAGTAAAATAAAATAAACTGCTAAATACCTTTTCTCATCAGCAGTATGTAGCAGTCTTATGACTTCAGCAGCAAGCACTGGTTAAGCTTGTAGGAGTTTTCTTTCTGCTCTAGGAGGATGCAGAACCCATGACCCTCTGTCTGGACAGTACTGATTGGCCCTGTGCTGATCACATGCACTCTCCCCCCCAAAAAAAAACCCTCTCTAGCAATACACACCAAACTGAACATGTGCACGTAACTACGGATTCAGTCTGTATTAGATGGTCATTTCAACAAAAGGAGGGGCAGAGAAGACAGGATCAAAAAGCCTGTTTACACAATGCAGAGGATTAACCCCTTAGGTTCCACAGTGAGTATAACAAGCACGCTTTACTGCATCTACAGACCGATTGTACTGTTGTGGGTTTAGGAACACTTTAAGGTTTGGCACCTTGGGGGAGCGGGTACCTGAATCTGACAGGTACCCACTCCCACTTCCGCTGCGATCACCTAAGGCAAACGGAAGTGGAAGTTGTACCCCCCCCCCCCCCCCCCCCCCCCCCACTCCCCTCTCCATAGTCTTCTGGGGCATGTGACAGGTCCCAGAAGACTACGGGGCCATTCACTAAGTGCAGCACTTTTCGTACATGCGCAGTGGGCACCCAGCTGTGAAGCTGCAAGCTGTCACAGCCGGGTGCCCACACTGATGATGCCGGCGCTGAGGAGAGAAGACATCCGGTGAAACCAGCATTGGTGAGGACACCGAGGGACAGATAAGTGTCTGTATTTTAAAAGTCAGCAGCTACAGTTTTTGTAGCTGCTGACTTTTTTTTTTTTTTTAAATAGTAAATGCTGTAAAGGACTTGAATAATAGTAAGAAATAAATATTGAGCTTTGCAATGCCACACCTCAGATCACCCCAATTCCTGCAACTTCTCACGTAAGATTAGCCCCAATTCCTACATCTCCACACCTCGTGTCACTCCAATTCCTGCACCTTCATACCTCACATCACTCCAATTCCTGCATCTTCACACCTGAGATCCCCTTAATTCCTGCATCATCACATCTCAGATCAGCCTCAAGTCCTGCAGCATCACACCTCAGATCACCCCAATTCCTGCACCTTCACACCTCAGATCCCCCAAAATTCCTGCACCATCACACTTCAGATCACTTAATTCCTGCATCTTCACACCCAGATCCCCCAATTTCTGAACCTTCGCACCTTACATCACCCCAAGTCCTGCACCTTCACACCTCAGATCCCCCAAAATTCCTGCACCTTCACACCTCAGATCCCCCAAAATTCCTGCACCATCACACTTCAGATCAACTTAATTCCTGCACCGTCACACCCCAGATCCCCCCAATTTCTAAACCTTCACACCTTAAAATCACCCCAATTCCTGCACCTTCACACCTCAGATCACCCCAATTCCTGCACCATCACACCTCAGATCACCCCAATTCCTGCACCATCACACCTCAGATCACCCCAATTCCTGCACCATCACACTTCAAATCTTGCACTTTCATACCCCAGATTATCACAAATCCTGCACCTTCACACCTCATATCACTCCAATCCCTGCATCTTCACACCTCAGATCAGTCTCAATTCCTGCACCATCACACCTCAGATCACCCCAGTTCCTGCGCCATCACAGCTCAGATCAGTTCCAATTCCTGCACCATCACACCTCAGATCAGTCCCAATTCCTGCACCATCACACCTCAGATCAGTCCCAATTCCTGCACCATCACACCTCAGATCACCCCAGTTCCTGCGCCATCACACCTCAGATCAGTCCCAATTCCTGCACCATCACACCTCAGATCAGTCCAAATTCCTGCACCTTCACACCTCAGATCAGTCCCAATTCCTGCACTATCACACCTCAGATCACCCCAATTCCTGCACTTTCACACCCCAGATCATCACAAATCCTGCACCTTCCTGCACCTTCACACCTCATATCACTCCAATTCCTGCACCTTCAAACTTCATATCATTCCCGATTCCAGCACCATCAGATTTCAGATCAACCCCAATTCCTACACCTTCAGATTCCACACCCCAGTTTCTGAACTTTCAGATCTCAAGCCCCAATGCCTGCACCTTCACACCTCAGATCACCCCAATTCTTGCACTCTCAAACCTCAGATCACCCCAATTGTTGCACCTTCAACCCTCAGACCAATTACAATTCCTGCACCTTCATTCCTCAGATCACCCAAATTCCTCTACCCTCACACCTCAGATCACCCCAACTTATGAACCTTAAGATCTCAAATAAGCTTCAATGCATGCACCTTCGCACCTCACTTTATCCACAATTCCTGTGCCTTCACACCTCAGATCAGCCCCAAGTCCTGCTGCATCACACCTCAGAAGACCCCAATTCCTGCACCATCACACCTCAACACCCCAATTCATACACCTTCACACCTCAAATCACCCCAAGTCCTGCACCATCATGCCTCAGTTCACCCCAATTTCTGCGCCCTCACACCTCGGATCACTCCAATTCCTAAACCATTACACCTCAGATCACCCCAATTCCTTCACCTCCACACCTAAGATCAGCCCTAATTCCTGCACCTTCACACCTCAGATCAACTCCAATTCCTGCAATTGTTTTAATAAATGCACCCCAAAGTGTATATTTGGGCAAATAGCAAGAAAAGTACATCTCTCGTGAACATTTCCCCATGATTTTACACTTCAAAATGTCTGCAGGTACAGAAAAATACCTGTTGATGTCTTAAAGTTCCAGTGAGAACCAAACTTCCTGTTGTAATATATTATATTTTTGGGATATATATATATATATATATATATATATATATATATATATATATGTTTTAACCACTCGTCTACTTAAAGTGATGCTTCATTCTCTCAATCACCATTGACTATAATGAATCCTTATGCTGCTAGCATTAGTATATAGGTAGGGAAGTATGACATATTTACTGGTTTTATTTATTTTTTCTTAATATCTTTCTTTAGTTATTTCCTGGTTTCTAGGCCTAGGCAAATAATGTCATACATCCCAGGAGTCTTCAGGAGGGGAGGAGGGGCTTAATCAGCCAAGCACAATGTATGCCAGAACTAAGGGAAGATGGATTCCAAAAAGTAAATGCTACATGGATCATCTGCCCTTGCTCAAGATGGCCATGGCCAGAAATGATAGGGGTGTTTTTCTAAGTGATTTCTGAGCAAAGTGAAGAATGGAGACATGGATAGAAAGGAGAGTTTGCTTTGAATATTAAAAATGAATTAAATGGTGTTTTTGGTGAGTGGTGCCCTGATACAGTGTAGTTCAGTTTTAGGTACATTTATGAATGGCATGGTAGACAAGTGATTAAAGCAAGCTCATAGCTGTTGCTGCAAATGTGAGCTTGGTACCAGCTTTATCAACCAGGGCTTTCCAGAAAAAGTGAGCTACCCTATCACATTTATGGGGGGCTCCATGGTGGTTCCAGGAGTCTCCTGTTCCTCCAGAGAGCTTGGGACCTCCTGCAACTAATGACTCCAGAAGCAATGTGTATTATGTCACTTTCAGGGTTACAGTTGTCATTCCTCGGCAAGTTTAGTTGAGGTTGCAACTAATAAAGCCCAACCTGTGCTTGGGTAGCTGCACTGGAAAGCAGGTGAGAAAAAAAAATGTAAAAACCTTCTTAAAAAAATGGATTTTATAAAATAAGTAAAACTTTTTTAAAGCACCAGGTCAACTCCGGGCACACCCCATATAAAACGTGCAGCATATGGTGAGCACTTGTACACACATGAAAGTGAAAGCAATAATTCTAGGAGCTGTTCAGTGTTTTTTTCAGCAGCCCCTGAACTCTCCCTAATGTTTTCCTATGTGTCCATGTACACATCTTCGTTTACAGGCAGTTGAGTTTACAGTTGTTATTTTGAATGCAGAAAACTTGCGTTCAGGAGTAGATTTTATCAGCGTTTCAAACGCGGCTAACCGCATTTATAAGCGTTTGCGTTTGAAATTTTTTTTAACTCTTCCATTTCCAGATGCTGTTCAGAGCTTTTTTTCATCATGAAAAATGCATGCAAAGCAAATGGACCCAGTACACCATACTTTGAGGTTTCACATGAAAGAAAATATGTTAGACACTGCTGCAATCATTTCTGCACAGAAATGAGCCGGAACACATCCAAACACCACAAAAAAGACCGCTAATCTAAACAAATACTGCTCTCTGCTTCTGCTCTCTCTATTTCTCTCAAAATGTCTGAAATAGTTAATTTTTTACTGTTTTTCAGTGCATTCTGGGCATTTTGGAAGGTCTTTTCTCCTCTTCTTCTGTGTCCCCCTTCTCTCTATTTTTTTTCTCCTATTCCTCCCTCCCGCATTCCCCTTCTTCTTCTCCCCCCCCCACCACCCCTTTTTTTTCTTTCCTCTCTCTCCTTTTTTTGGGATTTGCCATTGCTTTTAGCTGTTGCCAGTGTTTTATACTATGTTCTTGTGTGACGTCCTACTTGAATTTGTTATTCCTTTTTGGCTACATGCACTATATGGATGAACGATGTTTATTTATTGTTTCTCTTTGTTTCATTCTGCTGTAGAGTATGTGTTGTATTGCATCAAGTTGTTTTTGTACCAATGTTGTATTGTCTGTTTGGTCAATAAAGCACCCCGTTGATGTTAAAAAAGTTACAAAAACTGCAAAATCAGGGAATGAGTGACAGAATATTCATGTTTTATTTCATGTACTAACAGAGAACTTATTCATTCTCTAATCACAGAGATTACTCCTTGAAATTTCCACTGCAACCTGATTAAACGCTGTAATTACAATCAGTATCACTGACTCAACCCTGATGATATCTGTCCATGCTTCCTTATCACTGACTCCTCCTCCGGGTTTTGCAGACGCAATGGTAAAAACATTCATATTTCTTTTGGGAATCACAAAATAATTGTTCCAATCCCCAGAATAACTCAGAGATAAACATACATCATGGAGGATCAGAGTCAGTGTTA